TGATGTCTAAACCAAAATTGTAACCAAATGAGTTAGATTTCCAACGCATTTTGAATTGCCTCAATCGGATATCGGAATACAAAGTTATGATAAAAACACTGAAGGAAGGTGCAGCTGCTTGTTTAAAACAAGAAACTCCGTTACATAATCCGTTAAAACAACAAATTCCGTTAGTTTTTCCGTTAAACCAACAAATAATTAATCCAGCATTTTGTTATTCTCGATCATTTTATTGGAATATATTTGTGTTGGCAAATTAAAATAAATAAGTTAATTATTGTAATGAGATTAGACATATATGTCGAAAAGCAAAACTTGAATTGGACTCGTCCATAAGTGCTTGCTTGAACATACAAACTAAGCACTTCTGTGGAGAAAGTTAGTTTTTTTTTCATTTCATTTCAATGATAATAATCATATAAACTTGTAATTTAAGCTTAAAATCTGGGATTGACTTATTTAATAATAAGAAGTAAAACTCAAGTAACTATCAAGAAAAAATAGACTTTAATCTCTGTTTCACACCTCAACCTTTAGTGGAGTTTATTCATCACATAATGCTACACAATTGATGTCCTATGAGTTTAGTGACTGTTATAATCTTTGCTTCATGCATAATACAACTCAACATACATATCACTAAATATATAAAATTAATATAATGTAGGCTCCACCTTTTTTATTCCATCAAATTAGCCCCGTTTGGTGAGGATTAAAATCGAATATTTAACAGATTTTAATAAAAATTGATAAAATGTGTGATTGAAAAGTTATGAATCCCATAAAATATGTTGTTAAAATTAATTGTCGACTTTGACTTAAATTAAAATTAAAATTTTTACACTTATCAAACATGGTTTTTTAGGCTATCTCCAACCCTACACCAAAATTTGAGGTAAGTTTTGTACCATTTTACACCAAATCTTGCACCAAACTAAAAATCATCTCCAACCCATTAAACTAAACAATGCACCAAATGAAAGTGTTTAATCATTTTTTTTATTCTTAACAATTTATATATATAAATTATTTATTTATTTAATTTACTACTACATAAATTACTACATAAATAATTACGTTTCGTTACGAAAATATTAAATTCCTTAATAAATTAAAAAAGTGTAGTACATTCAATAAATGACATGAATGCCCTTGACAACATTGGGTGCTAAATGAAAGAAAGGGCAAAAGGGACTTTAACCAACATATGGCGAAACACTATTCATTGCACCATTTTGCATCTAAATGATGCAAACTTTGGTGCTGGGTTGGAGTGATATTGCACCAAATACTTGGTGCAAAATAAGGAAAAATGGTGTTTTGGTGCAAGGGTTGCCCTTAGAGTCACACTTTAGACATAGTTACGTAAATGTACAAATGTGGCACTCTTCGAGTTCGATCATGATGGTAAATAATTTGTAGTTCGCTTTGTGGAGGATTGTGTGTGCGCGCGAAGATGGCCCTTAAAACACTTGAAAGATGGAGTGTTCCTACTTGATATGAAGAAGAGACGAATAAATTATCACTTAATGATATTGAGATGGTATTGTACTTTGTTCGGTGAAGAATTGGCAATAAATTCCCTATTTGGGCTCTATTATTTTCAAAATACATTTATTCAAAATTCACTTTCAATCAAATTTTTTTCCATAAAATAATATTACACGTAAATTCAAAATTTTTTTTAATCTTTTAATTACACATTTTCTAAAAAATCACTATTTCAAAATATATTTGGAAGAGGGGTAAGTCCAAATTGAATTATAATTCCAAATTGAAGAGATCATAATATATTGTAGGACGAGAAAATTGCCATCCATCGAGATGATAAAACCCTTTACTAAAATGGGTATTACAATCATAAAAATATACATTGCTTAGACTTCACTACAATTTTCCCTCCTTTTTATTTGTATAAATTTCTATTTTAAGCAGTATTGAAAACTGCAAAGAGTACAACCAGTGTTAGCTGCCTGTAGGCTCTGTGAACTCTGATTCAACTGCAAACATTTGGTTCCATTACCAGAAAAAGCAAAGCCATATTCTCCCCTCCATCTCTCATTTCTTTACTCATTTTCTTGATTTTTCACGAAAGACTTGAGTGCACTAGAAGAGCTTTTCACCACTGCTTTTTTCTGAAGAAAAAATAATCTTCCAGCAGGCAAAATGGGCTTCTTTCGGAAAGCCATAGCATCAATTAAATTCAGAGGGTTTATCAATATTCTTGCTTTATTTCTTTTTTGTTTAAACTTCTCTGTTTCTGGTGAGTACCCCCATCCCTTCCCATCCCCACAAGAAAAAAAAAGGTCCTTTTTTGTTGATTATGTTGCTTATTTGTTTGGCTTGCGCTATAACCTCTTCATGGAAAAAAAAAATGAACTGGGGTTTTGTGTGTGTGTGTAGAGATGAAATCTTCGTGTAATAGGTCAATATTTGTCTTCAACCCTGTAAATATTGTGTTCAATATTTGTCTACCTAAATTTGTGCTGTTTCTTTTAATTTTTGAAATTTGAATAAGTTCTTGCTCTCAACACCAATTAGAGATTTAATTTTCGTGCTTGATTTATGTATTTGAGTTAGTAATTATGGTTTTTGATTATTGAAACTACATATTTATATTAGTCTTTTCGTCTTTACACGATACAAGAATACTTATATAGATCAAATCTCATATTTGAAACGACATTTATGCAGATGCTTATGATGCACTTGATCCTAATGGAAATATTACTGTTAAATGGGATGTTATAAGCTGGACTTCAGATGGATACACTGTAAGTATACATTATTTCCCTTTAAAGAATTCTCCTTGAACTTTAATGCATAAGATTATTCTTCTTGATGTGTTGCTTGACACAATCCAAGAGGCCAACAAGTATGCCGGACAAAGATAGCGGTTTGAAATATGCTTTTACGAACGTTGTTCTCTCCATTACCCACTTCAACATCACTATAAAGTACGTTTTGTCTTACAAATATAAGCCAAGTACGTGACCCACCTCGTTGAAAACCTAAGCTATTAGAGAGGAGATATGTTTATTTATTTAAATTTAGTCTTCTAAATGTCCCTCCACGTGCAGACTAGATTCCTTCAACAAAAGCCTCATATATGCACAATCTTATCAAATGAGAGGTTTTAGACTTGAACCTAGAATCTTTGTATGCTTTGATACCATATTGAACCACCTCGACTAAAAGTTAAAGCTAATAAAGAGGCCACATATTTATTTACATTTTTAACGTCTTTAAACAAGTAGTTCTATTAGCTTTGATGGATGCAATATGCAATCTCTAATCTGAGCGCACATTTGGTTGGAGTATCAGACAACACTTGCTCTCAAAGATAAACTATTCTAACTTTTTTGCCTTTCGTAATCTTGTCATGTGTTGTTCAATGCAATATATGAAAAAAAACATATTATGATGCTAGACAGTGTATAGTTTAGACTTGTCACTGAACTTCTTTGCTTTGCAATGCTGCAGGCTGTTGTTACAATCTTTAACTTTCAGAAATATCGACACATTCAAGCTCCGGGATGGAAATTGGGTTGGACATGGGCCAAGAAAGAAGTGGTTTGGAGAATGGTTGGAGGTCAAACTACAGAGCAAGGAGATTGTTCAAAATTCAAAGGGGACATCCCTCATTGCTGTAAAAAGGATCCCACTGTTGTGGATTTGTTGCCTGGAACTCCTTATAACCAACAGATTGCAAATTGTTGCAGAGGGGGCATTATAAGTTCTTGGGTCCAAGATCGAGAAAATGCTGTGAGTGCATTCCAAATAACTGTTGGTCAAGCTGGAACGAGCAATAAAACTGTCCAAGTACCTGAGAACTTTACCCTGAAAGCACCAGGGCCGGGATATACTTGTGGACCTACTAAAATTGTGAAGCAGAGCACATTTATAACGTCTGATAAAAGAAGAGCAACTCAAGCTTTGAGTAAGTTACTTGGACTAAGCATTTGTAAAAGCGTACCTTTGCATTGTGTTTTCGCTTTCTATTTACATTGAATGAGAAAAGAGAATAGGGCTCAAGTAGAATAGTGTTTGGGCCTTTGCCCAAGTAGAAGGTCTTTGTCAGGACCCTTGGACTTACCTAGTTAGCTCAGATGATTCCCTTTCACCAGCTATGAGCCATATCAGATGTTGGTATAATAGTTCATTAACTGTTTCCCGATCTTTCAAAATCTTCCTTAATTATGTGGTGACGAACTTATCGTTCAATAAAAAGTGCGATCTATACTTTTGACTTAAATGGATTAATAATGTTTGTATCTTCTGGTTTCAGTTAGGTTTTTTTTGTTTCTTTCTCTCTAAAGATTGCTTCTACAACTTTCATCTCAGTGACGTGGAACATTAGTTGCACGTATTCACAATTCTTGGCTCAAAAAGCACCCACCTGCTGCGTCTCACTCTCCTCCTTTTACAATGACACGATCGTGAATTGTCCGGCTTGCACTTGTGGCTGTCGGAACAGTTTAATACAATCAGGGACCTGTGTAGAGTAAGCAACCTTTTTCTCTTTCTCGAGTTATCCTTTTGATTCCATGTACACTTTTATGGCAGTACTAAGGAACAAAATATGTCAATATCCTTCCCATTCTATTGGTTCATTTTCTTATCCTTCTTATCGTACAGTTTGGATTCTCCGCACTGGGCTTCGGCTCTTTCAAGTCCACGCAAGAACAGTGACACACCTCTCGTCCGGTGCACTAGCCATATGTGCCCTATCCGTGTACATTGGCACGTTAAGCTTAACTACAAAGAGTATTGGCGGGTGAAAATCACGATCACTAATTTTAACTACAGAATGAACTATACGCAGTGGAATCTCGTTGCACAACATCCCAACTTTGACAATCTCACTCAGACATTCAGCTTTAACTACAAGGCATTAACACCATATGGTTCCATAAGTAGGTAACCATTTCTCATGTGTCTATATACACCACGTGTTGGGGAAAACTCGTATATTTCACCGAGAGAGGGAAGATGTACGTAATTTTCCCTACACTATCGAAATATATGTACTCTTCTAACCATATTGTGTTGTTCCAATGAATTGTATGTTGCATAGATGATACAGCCATGTTATGGGGAGTCAAATATTATAACGACTTACTCATGGAAGCTGGTCCTTCTGGAAGTGTGCAATCCGAGCTGCTATTTCAGAAGGAGAAAACGACATTTACTTTCAAAGAGGGATGGGCGTTCCCACGCAGGATATACTTCAATGGGGACAATTGTGTCATGCCGCCTCCAGATGCTTACCCTTATCTACCGAGTGCTAGTTCTCAAACGGTTATTTCTATGCGTAATATACTAACTATTTTGACATCTCTGGTTCTTTTACTGGCATATGACTAGCAAAATTCAGTGCAAGAAAGCAAGATGAGTCACTGAAGACTTTATTATTCCCTCTGGAGCTTAAGAATCCTCCATTTTGTTATTCGATTGAGGAGTGAAATTTCACTGGGAAGTTTCATAAAAATGAGGGGATTAAGGTGCAGTAGACCTATTGTGTTTTGTTATTTGCTACTAGTATATTTGTTTAACTTATTATATACATATTCTATGCCCTGTGAGGGAAAAAAGAATATTTGAAGGCAATGTAGCTATCATATTCATTGTAGATATTATTGGTAATTTTTGTCAGTCTTGGAAGAGTGATTTACATTCAATGTAATATGTTCACTTGTCGAGGATTTTATGAAAAAGATTATTACAATGATATTCTCATGCTATGACTTCAAAAAAAAATCTCCTAAATTTATGTGGCACAAGCACAATGCACATTGTGCTCAACAAATAGACTTACGGCTTGGGTTGAAAGGTGGAACATACCCAAAAAAAAAAAAAATTGTTAAATTTTTTCCATTATTGTAACGAAACATGCTCATGACTCAATCGAGAACATGAACATGAGTATGCATTTTGACATGTTCAATTGACATAGCAAGCGAAACAAGTATTTGACACAAGCATTATGTGGATTGCATTCCACTAACACACTTGTGAACTGTGGAGAACACGAGAAAAAAAAAAAGAGGAGAACAACAAGAAGAGAAGGGAAACAACGCAGCTTGGAATCCTAGATTCAATCAAGTGATTATAGATGGTGGGGTCTAAACCTGAGCTTATTATACCACCTCTTTGACTAGAGGAAAGCTGTGCATTTTAATATTGGTGAATTCCCTCGCAAATAGGGATAGCAAAATGGCTCGTCAGCTCAGGCTCGACCCGGAAAAAGTCCTAGTCGGGCCGGCTCGAGGCTCAGGCCGAGCCCCATTTTGGGGCGTCGCAGGAGCCGGCCCCGCCAAGAGACTAAAAAATAAAAATAAAACTTGTCTGACACTTCTTTTTTATTAATTTTTTTATTTTTTATTTTAATTTTAACTGTAATTTTTTTTATATGTTAAGATTTAGTTATTATTTTCAAAAAAAAAATTAGATTTATCATGAATTTAGAAAAAAAAAAAGAGCCGGCTCGGCTCGCTAAGGCCTGAGCTAAAAGCTCGGGTCGAGCCTAAATTTTTTGGCCAAGCTTTTGCTCGGCTTGGACCAAAAAAAAAAAAAATTCGAACTATTTTTACTCGAGCTGAGCAAAATGTTTCGACTTGCAGCTCGACTCGCGACCCCCTACTCTCAAACCATTTGGATCTTGTACGTGTTAAGGTGATCTTCTAGGTCAATTCTCCCTTCTTACTGTGAGATTTTGGTGAGTATGAAGTTAGTGGGGACATAAATGTCCTGATTTCTTAGGAGAATGGAATATTCGGTGACTTCTTTTCTCGTTGTTTGGCGGTTGTTTTCATTAGTGCAACTGTGTTTATTATATTTATCTAAGGATTGTATCCTAAAAGCATTTTGTTTTTCGGTGTGCATCACCGGTATTGGGGACAAATATCATTAAAGAGAGCGTCACACAAGTGATTTGCAATTTTTATTTCAAGTTATGTACAAGTATTGATTGTTTTTCTTCTAACATCATTGAGAAATGAAAAAATTCCCCGCTCCCTACGACCCCGCATTGCCCTCACCGAGTAGCACTCGTCCATGCTTCGAATTTTTCAAATCCACCCCTAAATTGTTTCATTTTATTATATTTTATTTTATCCTTTTCAATTTCATTTGTAGTTTAAAAATAAAAAAAATAATATTAAGATATAACTAGTAAACGAGTGGTACATGAGAAACATTTTAATCCCCGTCCCACTGTCATCCCTATCCATGACATTATTTATGATTTTTCTATTTTTTTTTCTTATTTTCTTTTCAAAAGATTGGATGAAGCATATCAAACAATCGCATGATCGTCTCAATCAACTAACTCACGTGAGAAGATGCTCTTATGATAGATTGATTAATAGGATGAGTTGTATTTTTTTTTCGGAGTTTTTAAATTTTTCTTTATCATTATTTTTTTATTATTTAATTAACTAAAAGTAAGGATATTTTAGTATTTTTATAGAAGTTTGACCTTTTTACTGTTCAGTGGGGGGGAAATCATTCTTTTTTTTTTCTTTTTTGAAGATGAAAGGAGTATCATTGAACATCGCAATAGCGAACGGTACAAAGAGGATAGACCTCCAACACAATGCCCTCCGAAGCGGGATTAAGTGCTACCAAGGCAAGAGCCCAAGCTATTACAATGGCCATCACGACCAACCGACAAAGAAGACGAGCACCAAAACAAACAGAAAAAACTAAACAAAACAACACCACCCAAACCAACCCCAGGAACCCGAACAGGTGCTAGAGCATCCGGAATCAAGATCTTCATCAATCATCAATACACAGCAAGCCCTTCACCAAGCCGGTGATTGAAAATCCAAAAAATACCGGAGGAAGCACCGCACAACCACCACAGCCCAACCAACGAAGAAAAACACCACCAACCGAACCACACATGAACACCACCAACCCACCAAACAAACCACACTAACCAAACAACAAAAACTAAACACAAACTAAACCAACAGAAACCAAACTAAACAACAAAGACACACCACCAAGCAACAAACAGGAAAACACCAGCCACACACCACCAAACACCAACCCACGCCTGCGCTGAAGAACCAGCCAAAACGGCTCGCCGACGAACCCCCAACAGCAGCAGCACCCACACCGGCTCCCGCCACCTGAGATCACAACGACCGAGGCCCGCCGCTCGCCACCAGCCAACCTCGCTCGCCCCTCTCTCCGACCAAGTACACACGAACACCACCATCAATTCCGCCCATTAAGGAAAATATTAAAAACTTTTGGACCAAAATTTAAAAGTTAGCTCCTGTTCAAGTCCGTATTTTCTAAAACTCATTTTCAACCACTCTCCAATAAAATAATTTTGTATGTAAAATCAAAATTCTTCCTATTTTATAATAACATATTTTTCAAAAAATCATTATTCAAAACACATTTTCCCGAAGAAATTGGTCTCAAACAAGGGCTTAGTAACGCCAAATTTTCTGTTAAGAAGTGAATGAATACGTTCTAATAGCACTTCGAGTAATTTATAGGGATAATTGCAGCGGCGATCTCAAACCTTTAAATTTTTTGCAAACCTTATCCTAACCTTCAGTTTGTACCACCAACTGTCCCAAACCTTTGGAAAATTAGCACCCGAAGTTCAAAATGACGGAAAATGTGAATTCCACCGCTAGTTGACCTGAAAATGGAAAAATTGGATATTTTGACCATTTTAAACAAGACATTGTCGTCACTTAAAATTAAAAAAAAAAAAAATCTCCGTCCACAACCCACCCACTTCATCTTCTTCACTCACCTCACCCACCCACCCTTACCACCTCCAAATAAACCCAAAACCCAGAAATACCACTTCCATGCCAGTCACCATCGGCCACTTCAACACATTCTCTTTCCACCTCTTTTTGACCCATTCTTGTCAGCATTGTCTTTATGCCCAACTCCTAATGAAGTTGAACCCAACTTTACAAACATTAAAAACGTTCTCTGCTAAAGTGGTGCTCGAATTGCTACTGGTGCAACAGAAAGGTGAATTACTCCGAAAGCACTTGGCCTCGACCTCAAAATCTCTCCATTTCTAAACCAGTGAAGAGATACCTTGTAAATTAGGAATCTCGATCGAAGTTCTAGAATGTGTTGGGGAATTCTTTCCTTTAAATACTGAGCAAGCACCCAAGACACATGACCATGGCTTTCGAGTGAGCGATTTGCCATTAGGATTGATGAACCTATAAATCAGTATAATCAATATGATGGTGAGGGTGCGAATTCTCATCAGAAATACAGGTACTAACCAGGTCATTGAGATTATTCTTGAAAGGCATGGTCGTGCAACGATTCCGACGACTTTTATACCTCCTCAAGGCATAGCCAAAATGCGACAGGAGGCTAATTATGTACCTTAATTGGGAAAGGGTTAACTCGTTCGTGGTTAGTTTTTGGACATATAATTTTTCCACCGTAGAATTAGCTCAAACATGCTAATTTTTATGCCTTGTTTCACTTTTTCTATCTATTATTTGTTGTAGAAATGTTAAGATGGGTTGAGGTGGCCGACGTGACTGACGTGTTAAGTGTTATTTCTGAGTTTTAGGTTTATTTGGAGGTGGGTAGGGTAGGGGAGGGGGGACATGAGGTGAGTGAAGATGAAGTGGGTGAGTCGTGGATGGGAAAATTTCTGTTTTTTATTATTTTTATTATTCTAAGTGACAAAAATGCCACTATTTAAAATAGTCAAAATATCCAATTTTCCATTTTTCAAGTCAGCTAATGGTGGAATTCACGTTTTCCGTCATTTTGGACTTTCAGGTGATAATTTTCCAAAGGTTTGGGACAGCTGATGGCACAAATTATAGGTTAGAGTAAAGTTCATAAAAAATCCAAAAAATTGGGACTGATGCTGCAATTACCCCTAGTTCATATCAAAATTCAATAATAAAACATCATAGATCAATTTCTATTCTCCTTTTCACTTTTGCTTTTTGTTGTCCATGATTATTTTTACATTTATTCCATCAAATTTCAAAAGTAATTATTAGATTCTTTTTTCCTTTCTCTTTCCACTCCCCAAAAGAAAGTAACAATAGAAGACGGGTGAGTCAGTTACGAACATTTGAAAGATCCAAAAACCAAACCCATCCGGCGGAAATTTAAACGGACCAATTGTCCGCTAATTATTTTTCACTTTCACACGCTTCTCTTCTCTAGTCGGTGCCAGTCTCCACGTGTCATCTGCTTTCTTCGCCTATTGGATCTTAATTCATAAATGTTACTTTATAAAACAAAAAAGAAAAAAAAAGGAAAAAGGAAAAAGAAATAGAACTAAATTTAGCCTCGTTTGATTTTATTTTTTAAATTTATTTTTTTGAACTACATATTTTATGCGACTCACAATTTTATTAATTTTTTATCACACATTTCACTAAGTTGAATCGAAATTTATTAAATATTTAATTTTTATCCAAACCAAACACGGGGGCTTGAAATGGATGGTTATAATTGTTAAAAATTTAATTATGTGAAAATATTTTAATAGTTCTAGCGGTAAATTAAATAAGTGTGACCAAATGAAATTTATGTGGTTTACAATTGTTACTAAATTTATTAGGACGATGTCTAATTATTGTTTATTTATGTTCATTTTGATGAAAGTTAAAGTAGAAATATAATAAATGTTGATATATAATCTCGTCTACTAGGTTTTCGTAACACGAGTGAACTCATTAAGGAGAACAATTAAATATCAAACATTCTAGTTTTAAATCTTTTCGAAGTGAAGATGCTACCTAAACCCTAGAGCCAATGACTCCAACTTCATTGTATAATTTGAGATGACTTTATGTGCTTATGGTGGGTCGAATTGAGGAGTCGATTAATTTAATTTCATGTACAGTTCCTCGCCCAATCTCTTCGACTTGGCACAATCACATACACAACTACAACCATATGACACTAGGTCTAATTTAGGTCTAGTGCTCGCCCTCATGGCTCATCTCCAAGTGGTAAAAGAGAAAAGTGGGAAAATCCCAACTTTGCTTGAGACTGTTGCGTCAAGAGTTCGAATCTTGAAATATGGATTTGACCATTGGGTAAGTGCAAGTGTACAAGCAGTCTTCCACCCTATACCTTGGAGGCATAATCTGCGATTTACCTCCTTCACCAAGATAAAATCAATAAAAAAATATTATTTGTTGTAATTCTACAAGTCAGGGGTACAAAATAAATAGAGGTTAGAAAGACTAGTTATTTGAGAAAAAAATTGAATAGACTTTGAGATTATTTCTATATAAAGTATTTATGAATTTGTTTCACTGTATCATTTTTTTTTTCAAATAGCTAAAAGTAATAATTTTTGGTTATAAATAAGTGAGAAACGCTTATATTGTCTTCCAACACTATTCACTAAAACTATAATTTGTAAGATATTTGAATTCAACTTCAAATTATTGAAACGAAAAACTCTCTTCAAATTCTTGAACCCTCTTTGATCACATTTAAATATATCAAGGTAAGTCGATAGCAATTACATACTTATATTACGAAAAATATATTCAAGTACCATCACAAACAATAACAAAAAATGTACTTCAACTTATTTTTAAATACAATGTAAAAAATTTGGAATTGGCTCATATAAACGGAATGAATAGCCTTATTTTAGAGGCAACAATCAAATTGGAACCACCGAGTCTCGATTCAACTCACTGGGCAAGCTGGGGGCCAATCATGAGCTCTATGACATTTTCATTTTTTCCCCGTATCAAACTCACCTTCACATCATAGAATTAGGGATGGCAACGGGACGGGACAGTCGCTAAGAAATTCATCGCCCCGTTACCCGTTTAAGGTGGGGCAAGACGGGGGTAGGTCATTTTTACTCGTTTAAGCAGGTTATCCCCTCCTCTTTCAGGGCGGGGCCCGCGGGTATTAGGTTTGTCGGATTTTTTTTGTCATCCCTACATAGGATCTTGAATTCTGCTCGATGTGCTGGCCACAACTTGAGCTCGATGTAGTGTGGGACCAAGTTATCGATGGGCTATACCCAACGAGCAACGAATGATCGGAGCCCATTACCACCTATCTTGTATGAGTTAAGCCATTTGTACATCACTTTTCATAGCATACAAGTTGACGTAATTTGATTGGTGAAAATGCTGTTTATTTTTTTTTAAAACTATCAATAGCATGTTGTCACGTGACATGATATAAAACGTGATGTAAAAAGTGATATACATATAGCATGATTAATCTTATATAGAGAAATAGGTCGACAAGCAATGACATGGAAATGTCCAATGTGGTATAGTCAAAATGCCTAACTAAATGGACAACTACGCAAAAAGTCGACTTTGGTTTTTCACAACCGATTGAAACGTTTGAACTTTGAATTCTTCATTCAATTGTTCTATCACGTGCCGTCCCAGTGCACACACCTCTCTTCCGTTACAAATTCTCCTCCTATATATACCTCTGCCCTAACATTCTCAGATCTCAATCCCCCCTCTCATTCTCGTTCTTATCGAAATCCAACAATGGCAGCAATTGAGGCCTCGAAATCTTCGACCCCATTGCTGAAAGATGAACTAGACATAGTGATTCCGACCATCAGAAACCTGGATTTCCTCGAAATGTGGAGACCCTTTTTCCAGCCATACCATCTGATCATTGTTCAAGATGGGGATCCATCAAAAAAAATCAACGTCCCAGAGGGTTTTGATTATGAACTCTACAATCGAAATGATATCAACAAGATTCTCGGTCCTAAGGCTTCGTGTATTTCATTTAAGGATTCGGCCTGCCGATGCTTTGGCTATATGGTGTCGAAGAAGAAGTATATCTTCACCATTGACGATGATTGCTTTGTAAGATCCAAAACCCAGTTTTTACTTTTGTTTTTGATTGTTTTTGGGTTTTAAGATGTGATTTTGATCTGTTGAATTTTAGTATCAAACACTGCATTTTGAAGATTGGATTTTAATGTGTGGATTTATATGATAATTACTCCATGATTTTGGTTTTGCAATGATGAGATCTGTTTTTTTTTTAATCAAAATGTTTTGCTTTTTGAGTGTTTGCTTAAGAGATTGTTTTGATCTGTGGTTAATATCAGTGAATCATTATGCAGTAGTACTAATCTAATGGCGGAGCAAATTATGTGAATTTTTTATGCTCGCCCGTTGTTTTTGTTTTTGTTTTTTTTTTCCGAGTGTTTGATTAAAATATTAGATTTTAATTTGTGGCTAAAATGAACGAATAACTATGCAGTAACATGGATCAATTCAGCTAATGGCAGAGCGCATTATGTGAACTTTTGATGCTCGGCCGTTCTTGTCTTGATTTGATCTTGAAATGCACAATTAAGATTTAAGTTTCTTAAATGGCAGCATGTGAAGATAAGTTTACATGTGCTGCATGGTGGATCTGTCTTTAGTTCTTTGAAGATAAAATCGGGGAGGTACTGTTTTATAGGTGCTTTATGCTCTACCTACCTAGTCTTAAGATGTGGATTGTTTTCAATTCTGCTATATGATGTTTTTTATGCTCGGTTGCCACGGCGTTGTTTTGATCTTGAAATGCACACTTAAGATTAATTTTTTAAAATTTTGACATCCCAAGAAAACAGGTTAACGTGTTGTGCATAGTGGATCTACATTAGAAGTTCTCTTAAGATTAATTCCCTCCCCACCCCCACGGCCCAGCCCACAAAAAAAAAAAAAATGTATTTTTATGATGCAGGTGCTTTATGTTCTACCTACTGAGTTTTAAGATGGGGGACCGGAGTTGTTTTGAATTCTTTATTTATACATTTATTGATACACAGGTTGCTAAAGATCCAACAGGCAAGGAAATTAATGCACTTGAGCAGCACATCAAGAACCTTTTGAGCCCATCAACTCCATTCTTCTTCAACACTCTTTATGATCCTTACCGAGATGGTGCAGATTTTGTCCGTGGATACCCATTCAGTCTTCGTGAAGGTGTGCCAACTGCTGTGTCACATGGGCTTTGGCTTAACATCCCGGATTATGATGCACCGACACAGCTTGTCAAGCCTCGTGAGAGGAACACTAGGTATGAAATTGAAACCATTTTTGCTTATGTTTCTTTGGCCTACGTCGATCCTTTGAGCATTAGATACTAATAATTATGTTTTTCGATTCAGGTATGTGGATGCAGTTATGACGATACCGAAAGGGACCCTGTTCCCAATGTGCGGCATGAATCTGGGATTTAACCGTGAATTGATTGGCCCGGCAATGTACTTTGGACTCATGGGTGATGGCCAACCAATTGGACGCTATGATGACATGTGGGCTGGCTGGTGCACCAAGGTACTATTTTTACAATCAAATTGTGCATATTCTTGCGTACACATTCATATGTAAGCTACGCACAGTTTCTTCATTCTTTGCTCTTTAATTGGGATCCGTGATTTTGAACTATGACCTAACATCTGCACGTCAGTTTGCTCTATTATGCATGAGCTTGAACACAGTTTCAAATCTTGTTTTTATACACCTAAAATGTCCTACTCATTTTGACTAATCCCGTTTCTTAAAGCTTCTTTACTTTGTCTTTCCTGTCGCATAGGTGATCTGCGACCACATGGGATTAGGAATCAAGACAGGTCTGCCTTATATCTGGCACAGCAAAGCTAGCAATCCATTCGTGAATCTCAAGAAAGAATACAAGGGTATCTACTGGCAAGAGGAGCTAATCCCTTTTTTCCAATCCGTAACCCTTCCAAAAGACTGCACCACTGTTCAAAAATGTTATCTTGAACTGGCCAAGCAAGTCAAGGCTAAGCTCGGGAAGGTGGATGAGTACTTCAACAAGCTTGCAGATGCAATGGTGACTTGGATCGAAGCGTGGGACGAGCTCAACCCATCTACCGTATTAGCCAATGGCTCCACCAAGTAGAAAATTTTAATTTATGGTTACAATCCTAATTTATTAGATACAGTACCGGAACCATCCTTGTTTGAGCTTTTTAACTTCTAAAAGCTTGGACGAGTTATTTTTCCGTGCAGAGTTTTTTTATTTTTCGAGTTCAGGACCACATTCCAATTTGGATCTGTTACTTGTATTACATTAAGCATTATTTATTGACGACCGGCTTTTAGAAGATATTGTTCAACTTTATGTGTTTTACATTTTCTGTTTGTTCATCATTTATTATGACTGTCTTTTTTCATTTACTTTCTTATTTCGAATATATTACATTTACATTTACAAATATAATTTTGCTTTGCCTTGTCTTCCTGGTATGGAAATCCCTTTTGGTTTCCTTCAAATGCTAATAGGTTTCATATGCAGTCGAAGTCTAAACAGCTTTTTATCTCGAACTGGGGCAATTCACAAAATTAGAATCATTTGCACAATTTGCTGCGGATCTTGATAAAGCTACTTAGAATCAATTGGCAAGGGGTCAATGATTATGTGAATTGCTTAAACAATCTCAAATAGCTCCCGTGATAGTGGAAGAACATAAAGTTATTCTACTTAGATTATTGTTGACTTCACTTTTTGTGGAGGTGGCGTGGTCAACAGATTCCAACTCGTCTCATATCCACATAGCTGCGTACAACCGATCTCCAATGGTGGGGGAGATGGCCGAAGGCACTTCGACGATCAAATCAATCTATGTAAGAGTATATATTTGGGTGGGGAGTGCTAAAGACATGAGCCACTTTAAGTAAAAGGGGAACGGACTGGGGAGTAATAAAGGGATCGAAGTTATATGTTGAGAGCATAAACTTGCAATACCTTTGAATGACACAATGTGTGGATTTTTATGGTAGTAGAGGAGAAATGATAACCGTTGTATAAAGTGACACGTGACTTCATCCTGATGGCCGAGATCTTCTTTTCGGTGTCACTCCATCAAACCTAGGCGACAAGTATTTAATAATTCTGAAAAGTAGACACCCTAGTGCCTGGGTCTGTCCTTCAATATGTAGACTAACAAAATTGATCTTAAGGCGTTATTGTAGTGAGTTGTCACATCAATCAATCACATGTGGATCTTCAGTACATAAAATCTCTTGAGAAGACGTGAATTAGAAAATCGCTTTTATAAATGTGGGGGCTAGTAGCCTCACACTCTTCCTTGTAGCATACATGACACTTCGGTCGGCTCGGCCATGGAGGATCGGCCTCGACATGACAACTTGACTAAAATAATGCATCACCACGTTTCACGGGGTACCTTTCTTCTTGGCATAGAAAGGGATACCGTACGGCAGTAGTCTACTCCACTAAACCACTTTCCGCCTTCTCTCGATCGTTTCGGGACGAAAGAAAATTTGATTACAATTTGTAGAAAGTTTGCAACATAAAATTGAGATACATTGAAAGTAAATTGATCATTGATTGCTTGAAAACTAGAAATTACAATTGATGAAAGCAAGAAATTACAGTGGTGGTGCAGTAGGCTAACACCAGAAAGCTTAAAAGATTTTTGAAAGATTAATACCCCTTATAATAGCTTGCGGAACAAAAATCAAAGTGATAGGAGTAGACGTTTAAATGACGAGAAATCATACTAAACGTTTACCAATATCAGATTTATTTTACAATTGAAATAAGCTATTATAATGGAAAGGAAATTACAATTCAAACTTGAACTAATATTTACAATATGCGGTCGAAGTTGGGCAAACACGGCTGTGATTGGGTCAAGAGGCTTAAGTAAAGCTGTGAACCTTGACATTCTCTCCCATTTATTTTGGCGACATCCTCGGATCCATCGATGAATTATATGCTTCAATTAATGGTTTGAAGGCTCCAAGATCTTTTTCTCTTTCCCAAGTATTCTTTTCGTTGTTGCATCTACTCCATTTGACCAAATACCATCGATGGTCAAGAATCTCTTCAGCAACATTCTTTCTAGCTCTTTTCAGTTCAAACACAGGTCGCTTTGGCTCAATTCTGGATGCGTCTTCCTTGTCGGCGAAGTATGATTTAGGTACTCCAACTTTTCTAGATGCATCCTCCTTGTCGGTAAAGTATGGCTTGAGTACACCAACATGAAGGACCTTGTAGATTTTGTACCATGAAGAGAGTGCAACTCTGTATGCGACTCTTCCAATCCTCTTCACGATGGATAATGGTCCAATATATTTTGGTATCAATATTGAGTCTTTCTCTCTTGTCGGTTTATAACAGTTTCTGTCGAGGAGTTTAACCATTACCAGATCTCCAACATTAAATTTAAGGAAATGACGCTTTAGATTTGAAGACTTTTTGTACTGTTTCTGAATAACTTCGAGCAATTTCGATGTTTCGTTTTCTCTCTTGAGAGAAGCTTTTTGCTTGAGAGGACTTGGTACTTTGGTCGATATCCACAGTATGAGGGAGTAACGGTTGCAGGCCAGTAACAATCTCAAAATGACTCTTATTGGTGGAAGAACACTTTTGGGTATTGAAACACATTTGAGCTGCATCCAAAAGTTTCATCCAATTTTTCTGTGAAATAAAGATAAAATGTCGAAGATAAGTTAAACCAAGAAGTTTGAACAACTCGGTCCAAAATATGCCATTAAATCGAGGATCCCAATCGCTGACGATGTCCATAGGCAGTCCCAGTATTTGACAATATGTTTGAAGAAGAGTTGAGCTATCTCTTCGGCTGTTATGAACTTGGACGCTGCGATGAAGTTGCGTACTTTGATAGACGGTCTACCACGATGATGATAGTGTCAAAATCTCCAACTTTTAGCAATCAAACAATGTAGTCCATCGATACACTCTCAAATGGTCTAGTTGGGATTAGAGGTGTCAATCCGGGTGGTCCGGGCCGGGTCGGCCCGCCAACATGTGAGCCCGGTAACGACCCGCGTGAAAAAAAGCCCGCCCGCTGCGGGTTCCGGGCCGGTTACGGGTCGGCCCACAATTTTGGACTACAACCCAGGCCCGCCCGCTGACCCAT